GATATGCAAAATGACTTCGACCAGGTCCATCTTACTTCGAACATATTGCTATGGTTGTTTACACCATTTATAAAATGCATCCGGCCAACGGGCCGAGTTAAAATCTAGTAATTTATATATACTAAAAGTTATTATCATAATCAGGTCATTTGAAAATGATGGTAGTAGTTTAGTTTATGAAGCTAATAAGTAGTACCTACTTGATTGCTGTACTTCAGTATTTGGTAGACTGAGTTACTTAAATAAACCAAACGTAGGCTAGCAAGCATCATGACTTGCCCTTTACTAAACCTCGATAGATAATATATTTGTCTAATAAAACAAGTGGATAATTGTTGTGAATACTTATACTTGCTGTGATTTTTGGAAAAACAAAGCAGATAATATACTTGGCAACAGATACTGCTGGCCAACTTTGTTGTTTTCTAGCGGAACGTAATTAGCAAGCTTCTCAACTCAACCAGTCGGAGGAGAAGATAGGAGGTAGGATTATGCTATGTTATGTAATTTGATAGTCATATTTCTTATCAGATAGATAATTTTTTTATTAGTGTTGGGTTAATGTAAGAGTCAATCATTAGAAGTTAGGTAATTTTCTATAAGACTATTAGAAGTTAGGTAATTTCCTTATTGTTGTTAGGGTGGTCATAGGAATCAATCACTCTGTATAGACCCAACATGGTTTTAGTAATTAGACACAATAATTTTCACTGAATTTTGATTTATCAACATGATCTTGTTGACAAACAATCAGAATACTTTTTGCTATCACTATTGACTTAAAACAAGATCATAAGTCGCAAGTGTAAGGAAGTGGTTAAGTATCAGACATGGACTACTCCCAACAACTCGGATTTTTTGACTAATTAACTGGTTCTTGACAAGGTATCAAAGCTGGTTTGGCCAAATGGTCGTGTGCATAAACCTTCACGGCCTCCAATGTTAACAGTTAATTTAAGCCCGTGTGTGTGGAAACTTCAAACGCGTGTATTGGCTTTCATTTGAGGGGGTGTGTAATAAAGTGGTATATGATGCATAAATAATCTTATATCAACAACTCGATTTTTGGAGATCGGTTGGTTTATGACATGGTATCAGAGCTGATTTGTTACTAAGGTCACATGTTCAAGTCCTTATGACCCCAATATTAACCGTTCTTTTTAAAAACACATGGTATGAAGGATTTACACAAACTTCAAGTCAATAATTTGACTTTCATTTTAAGTGAGCCTATGAACTTTCAACAATAGAAAAATTTCATGCAACTAACAAAACAAATCACTCGTGACGAGTAAACACAGTTAAAATAGGTATGATAGTAAATAAAAAGAAAATCCCATAACAAAAACCTGGATTTGCACATTTTCTTAAGGTGTTTGTCGCAGGAAATAAAAGAAATGAGTATATGTATATAGTAAAGTCTGATATAGTTTTGCCATATGTGATACTTTTATTGATATAATCATTGGAATTAATTTAATGTAGTTTGACGAACCATAATATTTGATTATTATTTTTATAATAAGATTGATTTTGAAAATTGAATTTTAAAAATTAGAAACTATAATTCATTTGTTAGAAGTTGGAATATGATATCAAAATAATTGTTAAAAAATGAACTTACTTTTCACAAGTGTCACACAAATATGGGAAAACAAGCCCACTGGTAACCTTATAATTCATCATGAAAAAGATAGGAAAACCATTAACATGTTACATGATGTATGTTCCCGTCCGTGGCCGGACACGATGCCTTAAGTGGGGAATGGAGGATGGAGACGGATAATTAACATAATTAATTTCAGACAAAATGGGTCGCCATTAAAACATGAAAAGTTTGACGCATACAGGTAAGTAGTCCATATCATTGATTGATTGAAAGCAAAAGTTGTGCTGAGGACAGACAAATCAATTTTAAAAGCAAAGAGATTAGATAGGGATAAAGCAAGATGTCTTTTGCGACATTGTTAATGGATGGTTTTGTGCATGCAATCATCGAAGTTCTCTGTCTAATTTAACTCTCTATTTCGAAAGTGTACTCATTTTGAGTTGTGATTGTTGAGATAGTTGAGTTATGTCTAAGTATCAAAAGAATAGATAGTATTGACCCGAAAACTCAGCTCGATCTCCTCTCTCAAAAATTGCAATAAGAGCTTTTTACACACAGAGTTTCACAAGTCAAGGTTTCATGACACGACCGTGCCAATGATTATTATTCTTAAGGTGTTTGTCGCAGGAAATAAAAGAAATGAGTATATGTATGTAGTAAAGTCTGATATAGTTTTGCCATATGTGATACTTTTATTGATATAAGAATTTTCTTATTACATTATTTCACCCCTAGCATTATTTCATTTCCATTGTTAGGCAGATTCCACTTCACTTCGAAAGGCCTTTCTCGCTCGCCCCACTTCACTTAAGTAACCAGGAAATGGCATGGCTTGTTGGGTCATGATCATCATTTTTTGCGGTCCTAACAGATAATAAAAGAAGTCGCCAAAGGGACCAAAGTTCACAATTGCAGTAAAAGTTTCTGGCGGAGGGGAAAGTTGCATCGCACCACAACTAGCAGACGATGGAAGGCGACTGAACTAGCAGTCCTATTTTTCATTGTCCCCTCGCTCCATCCATCCCCAGCTCGTCAGCCTTGTTTTTCTGATGAAAATGCGGGAGGTGATCCAACTTAATTTAGCGGGGGGAGCCGCGACAGTAAACGAGACAAGGAAACAGTGTCGAAATCTTTTTGTCTGGTTAGGGATCTGGGTCGCTGTAGCCTGTAGAGGGCTTAGCTCAAGTCATTGTCTTCTTGGCTTTTTTCACGCTTTGCCTTTGTCATATTCAGCCTAAAGCTTTCAGCCCATCCAAGCTCGGCCTGTCTGTTTGTTTGTGTGACCACTTCAGTTTGTCTCTCGAAGGTCCTGCCAGACAAGCTGCCAAGACGATTCGGCCCATTTGGGACTCATGTGTCATCGATGACGTTTAATTACGCCATCTTCTATTTGATTTTGGAGGGACTCACATCCAATTGATTAAATTGGATCAAAATTACGCTCATACTCATGAATACTAAGAAAAAAGTGTTTTTTTCCAGATCCAAACGAATTTGAGTTGATCAAGGATGAAGAGACTAGAAATAGAAAGGTAAAGGCCAAAGCGTGATTAGAAATAGGTGTTCGTTTGCCGTCTTCTTCGGCATCGACGACCAAAACCCATCTTCTTCCTCTTTAAGATCGACTTTGAGTTCATCAAGGATGAAGAGACTAGAAATCGAAAGGTAAAGGTCAAAGCGTGATTAGGAACTCGGAAAGACCAGTGCGACCATCCGGACCACTCTCAGTCATGTCGCAAACTTTATCATTAATGGCATCACACGTGAACACAAAACTCTTGCAATTGATTTGGGCTTGGAATATTGGAAGGCCAGTACAACGAGTGGAAATTTGGTCTTAATCCGAAGCCCGTTGCTGAAACAATGATTCCAACGAGAAATAGGTGTTTGTTTTAGACTCGAACAAGCCGGGAACTCAGTTCCCTTTTCTCGAATTAATTCTCTCTACACTTCTTTAATCCATTCATCCCTTTAAATAGGGAAATAGACATGAGCTACATTGATCGGATTACCATCCGAAGATTTTGTCCAATCTCTTACAATTCTATTCTAGCTAATTGAAAACCAAAGGTAATCCCAAGTGATCCTACATCCTAACGTATCCCGTTAACTAACTTGAAACCTCCTTTAAGGCGACTTTCTAGCCTAACAACCCAATCTACCAAATCAACAAAGCAAAAATCATCTAAAACTAGGGGTGGCTATACGGTCCGGTCCGGTTAAATTGGACCAAATTGATCCTGTCCAGTCCGGTCTTTTCGGGAATATAAGGACCAAAGATTGGATTGGATACAATCCGGTCTTGATTCGGTCCGGTCTTGACCCGGTCCGGTCCCAATTTGATCTTGGTTTTAGGTGTTGGGGGTCTCTTATCCGGTCTTTATCCAGTTTTTTTACCTCAAATCTAAGCCCGAATATGAGATTGGATTGTTTGCTATCCGGTCCCGATCCAAGTTATACGGTCCGATTTCGGGTAAAACCAAACAGTCCAAGACCAAATAGCCAGCCCTATCTAAAACTCCATGCTTCCTAAGCAAAGGCAGCAACACTATTGGGCTTCATGGGCCTTTGTCTAGTCATGTATGAAACCATTGTGTGCATAGAATGGGGCCTTGTCAATGGAATGAGAGATGTGTGTAGGCTTAAATTGTTAAAGTGGGCTTTAGAGATTCCGTGAGCCGCAAATCAAGTCCACGAAATAAGCCTTCTAACTGCAAACCGTATTAAGATCTAACTGAAACTAAGACTCAACTCGAGTAATTTTATTCACCTCCCTTCATATCTCGTTGTTCCTATTGCTTATCTTATACAAACCACTTACAGCCAATAAAAAGTTTTTCAGTATGCCTTGTTTATAAGATTGTTTTCAATGCTATCTTTCTTTTTTCATAAATGAAAAATACCCGATTCATAAAAAAAAAAATCATCATGATAATTAATAAGCTGGAGACTTTATTGCATGTCGACGCAGCAACAATCTGGAGTGGAAAACAATTACACAAATTGGCCAACTACCCAGAGAAAGAAAAATGATAAAGCAAAATAAAAACACATAACCCAAAAACTCTTATCTAGAGAGTAAGCGGGGCAAAATTACGTAGAGAGTAAAAATTACATGAACTCTCAGTAAAAAAAAAAAAAAAAACCCCAACAAGTAAATATCATACACTACTGCACGAATCTTCCATTCTTCAACAATCAAGGTGACTAAATAAACCTGGTTGATCGATCGGATCAAAACCAGGCAAAAAATTGGGATGTAACCCAAGCAATCCCTCTTGATGAAGAACAGAAGAAAACTCTCAGCAGCATCCTTTGATGGTTGGTGCAAAAAACTAAGGTCTATATGCATGATCATGAGTTACTAATCGCGCTGAGATGAGAAAGGTAACTATTTTATTAGAGCCCTTCTTAGGTTCCTCACAAGATCGACGATCGGTGTGGAGAAATCGCAGTCCATCTGAAAATAACAAGAGATCAATCAATGTTCAGTTTCTCGTCGTAAGCAAAAAAGAAAGATGTTGATGCTGCAGAGAGAGGGGGAGAAAAAACCAATGAAAATAAAATACCTGCGCGACGACAGTTATGTCGAGAGTGGAGTTTCCAAATGGCAAGACGTTGCTGTTCACGACGCCGAGATTCAGCTTCTCCAACTCTCCCAACAATCTTGCGAGGCACCCTTTCTGTTTCTCGCAGTGGATCCTGATCATGACGTCCTTACCGAAGACTCTGGCTTCGATCTCCGGGAGCTGGGACCGGTCCGACGAGCCATCGGACAAATAGTTCTCCTCACTGGAGGAGGAGGAGGATGATAATTCGTTATTGTCATCGAGGTTATACACACGAGATTTCTTCACGTAGACTACCGATTCCATCGTCTTCTTCTTGCTCGCTAGTTCCTCCAATGTCTGCACTCGCTCCTGGAGTTGCTTCAGGTATTTTATCGCATCTCCCAAAACTGACGCCTTATCCATCTATCAAAACGTTATATATCAGCAAGTGGTGGCAATTAGTATCAAAATTTATGAAATCTCCAACTAATTCAATTTATTTGATCCAATTTCAATCAAATTGATTGATTCATGATTCGATTTTGGATCTAAATGATAAATTACAGTTTAATATGTATATTTTCTTATATTTTCCATTTTCGAACCTAAAATTTAATTTTTAGACAAAAAATATCATTGAAAAATTAAGGTTTGGTATCTAATTTTTGTTTGTTATGACATTTTAATACCTAAACTTTCCAAAATATACATAATAGTCCAAGATTTGGATGCCACTTGGATCTACCAATCAATTCACCAATTTATTTGATCCAATTCAATCTACCAAATCATGAATCCACATTTGTGACATCTATATAAGTAAGGAGTTGGGAACTCAAAATGGAAATTTATTCACTTATATTTGCTATTGCTAAGATAATGGGCCCAGACATATATATCGACTATCCACTAATTTTTTTTTAAACCTTTGTGTTTATTTTGCTTCTACTTTATCCACTTATTAATTTTCACATTATTAATTTATGTTTTTTTTTGGTTATACAGTTAGTAATAACTTATAAGATGTTGATTAGCAGTAATTAATATATGTAAACTACCTTTTTGATGCCTGGGACGACAGCTGAAAGGGCGATGAAGCGCTGGCTGAGCTTCTCCCGGCGCTTCCTCTCGGCGATGACATGATCCTGTGCACTAAGAGGGGATCTCGTCATGGCAGCAGCGAAGCTTCTTTTGGTGCCGTGCTCCGGAATCAGAGATGATGTGTACTCAGGCTTCACAACAACAGCAGCAGCGGCAGCAGCCGGTCTCCTAGGGTTTTGGAGGGAATCGGCGGAGCTTTCGAAAGAGATGACGCAAGAATACGGGGAAGAAGCCTTGGCGCAATGGTTGGTGTTGGTAACGGTAAGTTGGTGTTTGGGAAGTTTGGCTGCAGGCCTGGTCTGGTCGTGAACCGAGATTTGGTAGCTTTGAGGGATGGCCAGAGGAGGAATGGTGTCGTGGTCGAAATCGAAGGCGTCCAGTGAGGAGCAGTCAAAACCTGGGTAGTAATTGAAAGATGGGTCTTCCATTCCCTGCTTTGAGACACAAATCACAAGGACAGGAAAAATCTTTAATTACAACACAGGAGTTGGGTTGGAAACAGTAGGAGAAAGTGGCTGAATGAGCAAAACCAGCCTACTTACCAAGTCAGGCAACCATTGAGTCTGTTGGATTTCCATTAAGATATGGGCGACTTTACTTGGGCTCTGCAGCGACTTCTGGTCTTTTTTTGGGACGATGGGAGCTGTAAGCGTACCAGTGAAATAATGATGGTGGGAGACGACTTTTTTGGGATGAGAGGAGAGGTCAAGTTCGTATATTATGGTTAGGCAGCTGAAGGAGGAAGAGAGAGGGGTTAAGTGGGTTGTTTTTATAGGAAGAGAAATTGTTAATTAGGAAACGAGAGCGATTGTTTGGGCGGAGTGGGGGAAAGACTGGCTGCTGCTTCTGTTTTCCCAGGGAAGAGGGAGGCGCGTCCATATTCTGCTTGTGCTGACCAACGGAACAAGTTTGCTTGGAGTTCGACGAAGCTTCTATAGCGCACATGTGAAAATGGGTTTTGGGGTGTGATGTTGAAAACCAAGATTGACGGACGGAGAAGCGACATGGGGATGAAAATGACAAAATATATAAAGGCAATCTGTAACACCATAATCTTTTTATTTTCTTATATAGCGTGGTAATTTATCTAAGTGGTCACATAATTTTGTGTTGTTTTATACTAAGTACATTTAAATTCGGAGTTTTACGAGAATTTTTATTTTATTTTATTTCAAAATGCGTTTTATCATTTAAGGTTAGATTGTTCTTTCAGATTCACCTACTTTTTGGGAGTGAGGTATATACATAAAATGTTACACAATAAGAATCAGCAACAGAACAAACAACAGTAAGAAGAAGGGATATAATTTTTGATGCCCAATTATTGTAGAAATGCGAGACAGAGAGTAGCACTGTTCAGTTGGTGGCATCGTTTTTTGTTTGTTTGTGTGCCCTTTTGTTGACAATGTTATCGTGTATGTGTAGGGGCTTTTGACCAACCAACGGCGAAAGGAAATTTGCTGTCTCATCATCATCATTGCCTTTTTTTAATTCTTCCTGAATGAATATATTAATGAATGAATCCCAACTTCTTTGGGACAAAGCCACCACTAACGTGGTAATTTGATATCAATCACGGTAGGGGTGTACATGGGTCGGGTGGTTCGGGTTTAGTCATTTTAATCACCCGACCCTTGCACTACGGTTTGGAAAATATCAAACCCAAACCCACCAAAAAAATTTTAAACCCTACGGTTTGTTTCTAATTGGGTTGGGTCGGGTTGGCGATATTTTTAAGTAAAAACCCAACCCAACATAAAATATATAATTATTCTACATCATAAAAATATTTTATAACTAATTAAAATTTCAAACGAATGAACCAAGGTGAAAGGTATGAAAATTCACAAATGTTGTTTAAATTTTAATATAATGTAATTTACTTCAACATATGTCTTGTTTTTTCACGATATTTGTTGAAATAGGCTAAAAATATTATAAACAAATGCATCCATCATATGTTATTCTATTAAAATTGTACACAAGAAAAAGGATTACGTGAATCATAACTATATTCAATTTATGTCTAAACTTTAAGTTGAAGAATGCATTAGATTAGGGAGACCATAAGAGAAAAACATGGCGAAATATCTTAATTTTCTCATAAGTATATGACTATATACTACATAAATATTTTTTAGATTCGAACTCATACTAATAATTGGAACACGGGTTGGGTCGGGTTCTACGGGTTGTGTAATCCAAAATTCAAACCCAACCCAAAAGACACGGGTTGTACAAAAGAAAACCCTCACCCAACCCAAAACCTTCGTTTTAGCGATAAATACGAGTGGGTTGGGTCGGGCTGGACGGATGGGTCGGTTTGCAGGTGTGTTTGTTCACCCCTAAATCACGGGGTGTAATCTAAGCATCGACGAAGGAACCTTTGCTAATTGGAAAAGGAACAAAGAATTGCTAAAGGACCCATTTGGCCAACAAAAAATAAGATGAATCATTATGGGGTTCTTGTATATGTCTTATCGCTTCCGGGTTAAGAAAATAATTAAGATTTTAATGTTAGTAGTACAAGTAGTCAGTATCTCAGGCTTCTCTCATTAGTTCGTTTTAAATCGGATTTCAAAATATATTGCGTAGAAGATACAATTTTATCCTCTAAAAGATTATATACATTTTGATATCATTTAGAGGAAAAACATTTTACTGTCATCTTAGTTATCACTGTCTTATCATTAATTTGGCATGAAGGTGTTGTCATTCCTACCGTACTGGTAATTGAGCATATAAACCTAAGGAACACGAGGATTTAATGTTGCTTCTCCAGTTTAAAATAGATACATATTTATAGGTATGCTCCATCAAACTTTAGATACAAGTCGGTTGGTATATTATAGGCTGGTACTCATACTTTACATTTAACATCCTCTCTCAAATTGATGTTGGGTACATAATATCAATTTGGATTGTATAGTATCCTTACAACCTGCATAATCTGCATCTATAAAAGCTTCGATCATCTGTTCACCCGCGAAAGGAGAGAACATGCCAACATCTTGCGTTTGCTTCAAGTATCTCAGCAACCTATGGATGTTACTCCAATCTCTAGCCGAAATTCACCTCCTCCTACGGACGATACTCGAGCCCACTAAGGCAGAGTGTGTGCAAAAGTATGTTTTTAGCTCTAGCCTGAGCATTTATTTATAGCACAATGAAGAAGAATGTTCTAGGGGGTTCACCCCAAAACTCAACTAAGGGTGTCCTAGTACCACCATGACGCGAGTTTCTTGACTTGGGGATGAAGTAAAGCATATTCCTAAAGCTTCCATGGGCTTGGGTCAACGACAATCGAGTGGCGGTCTGGGCTGCCATGCTTTTTCTTGTTGATATGGGTTGCTTGACCCACAAGTAACCTCACCATGGATTTTGTCCGCAACTTGATGGTTTTGGGCTAGCGGCGGTTGGCTTCATCTAATGGCCACCATGACTGCTCTTCTCCAAAAGAGATTATTTCTCGTCCTCCTACTGATCGATTGATGACCCATATTCATCTTGGGTGCATGTATTATATCATTGAAAAGCATGATCCAACACTAAATGCGTAAAATAGTACAAAAACACACTCAATGTATAAATTAGGCATATAGATCAAATGCTTATGAAATATATATAAATTTAATATATATGCAATGATAGAAAGAGAAATGTATCAAATATAGGGAGTGATAAATAATATAATTTGAGCTTCATCAGAGGTGCTTGAGTTTTGTAAGAACTTTGTAAAGTAAAATACGTGCAGAAATGCATGAGTCACCCAACTGGTCTTGCTTATCACGATTACCCCATCACAAAATGTTGGCTACCAAGTCGTGTATTGCTTTTTTTTTTTTTTTTATAAGGGTGATATAGGTTTCTCTTTTTGTGATTAAGGTACTACTTAAGGGATTCGAACCTGAGACCTCCAGGTTCTAGACTAGTGGTATTACCACTAGGCCAAGCCCTTGTTCTAGACTAGTAGTATGCACTCAATCACATGTTTTTCTTTGTTACAATCCACACACATGAACACATATAATATTGAAATCAAAGACAATAAACACAATGAGATGAAATCAATCAATCATGCCATATATAAATATAATCAAGAATGACTATTGCATTGTCTAAGGAACCTCTAGACTTGACGAACAAGGACTTGGCCTAGTGGTAATACCATTAACCTAGAACCTGGAGGTCACATGTTCGAATCCATTAAATAATACCTTAATCACAAAAACGAAACCTATATCACTCTTATATAAAAAAAAAGTACGATGCAGCTTGGCTTAGTGGGGAGAACCACAAGTCCACAACCCTTGGATAAAAAAGACAACTGTGTTTTTTCTCCATTTGAGCTGTGTTTTTTGGCTGACCTTCATGTTGAAGCTCCATAGTCCATCCATATATATACTGCTCCCAACCATGCCACTTCCGATCAAATCTACATCTATGTCACCTGTAAACATCATCAAGAAGTCCTACAAGTGTAAAATGTGATATAACAAGCAATTTAATTATGGATATAACAATCAAGCACTTAATATATTTGAAATTTTCGCCTCTCAACATGCGATTTTATTATGAAAAATATAATATAAAATGCAATTTTATTATGAAAATACCAATCCAGACATGCTTAATATCAATGGACATGAGGTTTAACCTTGTGATCTTTTTCCGCCTCCCAAGTCTCAACCATGATAATTATCCTTTTTCTTTTCACATAGACTATATACCTTAATTATCTAGATCCTTGTTGTCCAACTATACCAAAAGTGATAATGTAAAAATCGGTTGGTGTACCGGCTCCAGGCCAACCAACAGGCACTTGTTTGATATTTTGTTAATGATAGTCAATATTCATTTCCTTCGACGATCTTTCTGTATAAAACCCTAATGATTATTCTAGAAGACAACTTTGCATGTTGGAGTCTCTTGATTGCCCTTCAAAGATAAAGGAAATGATTGCCAAGTCCTTGTTGTCAAGAACTAGGAGAGGTTCAATCGTGGACCATATACCGTTTATTAACACCATCTTCAAACTCAAGCCATTCAGATAGGCTTGGAGTTTGGACAAGTACATGTCCGTACACCGTGTGCTTAACAGAAACAGAAGGGGGTCACCGGGAATCGAACAGAAGACCTCACGGTCGCAGAAGGCTCTGATACCATGTCAAGAACCAGTTGATTCTAATAACTCGAGTTGTTGGGAGAGGTTCAATCGTGGACCATATACCGTTTACTAATACTTGTGACTTGTGATAGCCTTAGATCAGCTACTAAGATACCTATTTTGTCGAATTCGTCCCGGAGAAGTACTATCCGTCCAGATTCCCGACAATTGGTTTCCAGGCAATATATTGTCTAAATCAGGCTACTTGCCAACTAGCTCTTTAAGAAAACAAAGTAATGGATTCTAGATCCTACCAACACCAATAGTTTACAGCTTGTTGACATTCGATCTTCCGGACTTCGGAGCTAGCGTGCCAAGTTGCTAAAGTCTATCCCTGGGCAAGAATTTTGGAGCGCGAGTAGTGCCGGTGCACGCAAATGTGTTGTAGTTAAAAAATTGTTTTTGCATACTGAAGTGGGTCAAATTTATTTGGTTCTAAAGGTTAGATCATATTTCTTTGGGATCTCTCACAATCACTTATTCAGATGATGAGTGATGAGTTTCTATGGCTTGAAAACGTGAACTTCAGAAGTTGAAGTTTTCTTTGGTTTTGTAGCCACGAGA